GCTGACAAACAGGCTTTGCAGCGTACTCACCGCATTGGACAGTTGAATCATGTATTATCAATAAATTTGGTATCGCAACGCACGATTGAAGAGGTCAAAACTCTGACTTGCGATGTACCAGTACTTTCTTGATTAAATTGCTCCTGACCTTTTCTCTTTAATTTGAAATGGTTGCAGGTCATCATGCGAAGAGCAGAGAGGAAACTTAAGCTTAGCCACAATATTTTTGGAGATAAGGATGCAACTGATGGGAAAGGAAATGACTTGGGAAATGAAGCTAATGACATGCGTTCGATTATATTTGGCTTACACCAGTTTGACCCCGCAGATACAGCTGCGGAAACAATCAATGAGGAGACACTGGAAAAATTGAAATCAATGTCAGAAAATGTTATCAAAATGCGTACTCATGAACCTTCAGAAAAGGATGACCGAGCATTTGAAATCAATCCAGATTTGACTGAGGGCAGCGGGCTTGTAATTACAAGAGCTTGTGATTCTATTAGCATTGATCCAGGGGTTGACGAAGCTGCATACCTATCCTGGGTAGAGAAGTTTAAGGAGGCTTCACATTCTATTGAAGATGTCCCAGTTGAATTAGAAAGGCAAAGACCTGCACCTGAAGATAAGCTCTTGAAACGTGAAGCTAATAAGAAAAAGGCTGAAGAAAAGAGATTGGCCAAGTGGAAAGATTTGGGGTACCAGACATTAGGGGTCAAAGTTCCTGATAACATACCAAATCAGAATATTTCTAACTCAGGATCCGTCCAACTTGTATATGGAGATTGCACTGATCCATCAAAAGTTTGCGCTGCAAAGCCTGCCATTATATTCAGGTATGTTTTTTCAGGGAAGAAGTGTGATTAGATTATTTGGCGAAGTCCACTACCCCTTGCTAGAATTCTTGATGGAACTGTAGTATGTTATACGCTATTCCTTTATAGAAGGCTCTGAGATTTGAGATCAGGTTTTAAACTGCTTAAGTTGAAATATGCAATTTAAATTTCTTTGAATTCCTTCCAACACTCCTTAGTTTCTTCTGAACCACACTTTGTACTAACGAATCAAATGCTGGTGCAGTTGTGTAGATAATTCTGGAACATGGGGTCATGGAGGAATGTTTGATGCTTTGACTAGTCTCTCAACATACATTCCAGATGCTTATCATCGTGCTTCTGAAGTCGACGATCTTCACATGGGGGATCTTCACTTGATTCAGCTAGATGGTTGGTTCTTATGCTAGCTCCGCTTATTTTCGCTTCTTTATGACAAGCATATCATACTTAACTGCTACTTGAATGCCTGAAAATATCATTGGCACTGATGTTTATATGCTCGCTGTACTGCTCACATTGATGATGAACAGTTATCTTTCTCTAACCTTGGCAGGATTACTAATGCAAATCAAATCCAAGTTGTGCCATTTCTTATATGCCAAACATAATCACATTAACTAGTTACTAATTGACCATCAGAGATTTGGCATTATGATATATGATATTTTCGACAGGTGACAGCCCGTGGACTCGTTGTTAGTGGTGTATATCTCTTCTCTGTTAGAATGCTTGCTAAAATAAATCAAGCATACTGCAGTATTGCTGTCCATAATAGATCGCACATCTAGTTACCAATTTCACGTAGCACCACAAAATTATATGATTTAAGGAAAGAATCATGTTCAGCACCTTTTCATGTGTAGCAGTTCTGGCTCATTTGGTTACTTTGCAAGTCCACTGTAGGGGGTTTACATTGAAATAACAATGATACATTCCTGCAAAAGCTATATTATGGTAACCTGAGTTAGGTAGACTTTGGATGTATTTGCAGTCCACATAGGTTTTGTGGGGAGTGTGCCATAGGCCACGAGCATCTTATGTTATATAAAGTAAATCTGAGTTCGTTCATTTGCATTCGAATGTGAGTTTAGACTATATTTGTCTGCTTGGTATCTAAAGTGCATTGAAACTCCATTGCTATATTAAAAATATGCCTTTTACGATGTTTGTACATGTATGGAAGCTTCAACATCAAGTGTATTTACCTTTTAAAATGTAGTCCACAGTTACTTGAGCTAGTTTTTCTTTCACTGCCTCTGTATCCTCTAGAATTTACATTAGTTTTATAAATCATCATAGTCTACAGTGAGTCCAAACCGTTGTATTTCACTGCATTTGTATCCTCTCTGCAGAAGCCAACTGTAGCCGGAATTTGGACGCACCTCTATGGGTGGCACTAGCTGTTGTGCAGTCTTATAATCCGAAACGTAAGATTCCAAGAAGTGAAATCTCAATGTCTGACTTGGAGCTGTGTTTGTCAAAGGCGGCCTTCTCAGCTGCTCAGCGTTCTGGTATCAGTTCCTTCTTAAGTTTTAACATTAGAAACTTGAGGTGTATCTTTGAATCATGACATTAGAATGCTACCTTGTGTTTTCACCTGTTCAAGTTTGCTGTTAGCATCTTAAATAGTTTGAACGATTACTCCGTAGCAAGACATATTGGGTTGAATTGTTTGTGGAGTAAATTTAGTTTAGTTCTGAAATCAGCTCAATTCAGTTGGACCAAGTTTATTCAGTAGCTCATGAGGTGGTGTGACTGGTGATAATAGACCAATAATTACAGCATATTTGTGTCCGTTAACTACTTTGATCCTCTCAAGCAGTAACAAGCTCTACATTATCTTAAAAAAAAGCTCCACATCTGTATTTTCCAATGTGATTGAGTCTAGTTAGTTTATCAGGCTCACCTTAATTTGTTTCCGTTTATTTACCTGAAGCGAGTATCCACATGCCTCGGATTGGTCAGCGAAGTGGCTCCCAGCGATCAGAGTGGTATACCATAGAACGCCTGCTCAGGAAATACGCATCGCTTCATGGCATCGACATTTTCGTGTATGCGACAGTCTCACTTCAATTTTATTATTAGGTTTTCATTGGTAAATGCTTGCTACTGAATGAATAATCATCACTGTTTTCTGGTAACAGGTACTACTTCCGGCGACCAACCAGGCAACAGCCAGACTCAGATTAATCCTTGTCTGTTTTAACACTCAGCCTAGCTACATGTAGCCATGTATGTAGGGATGTTCCTGGTGTAACCTGGCCACAAAAACAATCAGGGACCATGGATGTAGCATATATGTAACCTTTGCTTGTCCTGTAGCTGGATTGACTATGGATAGCTGGACCGAATGGACTTACTACACAGTTTTATCCGGCTGTAGATCAAAGGGTATCTTGTATGTGTCATGTGAGAAATATTGGAACCTTTAACTTCAGTTTGCAGCTGTTGTTGTTTCTCTATAACGCAGCATTCATTTTTCATTTCCTCTGAAGTCTATTAAATGAATATTCAACATTCAGGTAATTATAATTGTTTTACAGCAAAAGCTCTTGTTGTTATTTCTTGTATCGTTGAGGCATTTTGCGAGCTGACCCTGTTTGCATCCTTTTCAGTAGTTGGGTCCAGACCAGACCATTGTGTTTGTGACGCCATGGTGATGAGGCAAGTAAGCAAAAAGACGCCTGTTGCTGCATATCTTATGATCTGGCATGAATGTTGTTTCAGGTTGACGAGTGACGACTGATTCGTGTTTGGTCGATGCAAATCAGATGATGTGATGTTTCTCGCGGCAACAGGTACCTCACTGTGTATCCATTAGTTAGTGGTGTGTCAGTTAAGAGTTTCTAGCTAGTTTTTTGTAGTGCAAACCCTGCTCATATTGATCGACTTGTTCATACTAGCTAGATGCTTAATTTGAGTCAAAAACACATGCAAGATTCACACAAGAATCTAGATTGTTTATACCGATAAATTACAAATATATATCTAGCTAATAACATAACAATAATGTACGCACTGCAGAAAATAAATAATCAAAACTAAAACCGCATACCCAGGTTTGTTCCAGATGACTGCCGTTATAAATTACATTTGTTGTTGCTATGGAACTCGCCTACCCAACATGGCGTGTACGGAAAATATTCATAATTTTGTTCGGTAGATCTGAAGCCTTCAAAAAGATTATAACAGGCTGGGCGCATGTTGCCTAAGCATTCAACCCTCGAGCTATTCAAATGGTAGGCGTGTACCGTAGCATCCCATGTTTCTTTGGTGAAGCTGCTCAAGAACATAATCTCTTTGAATGGGTGAAATCCAAGTACATCACATCCATGACGACGCTCTTCAGCCATGTCTACGATGTTGTCTGCACCGTCATTGTCGGAGTCCCAGTCAGTTTTTTCTTGGACTATTGCTTTCTTCTTGACTTCTGGAAGTTGAGAACGGAAGAATTCATAGTTAATGTCTTGTAAGACCCATGGACCATGAACACGCTGATCTGACGCTCGCACGCACTTAAGGTCATATTCACCCTTCATCATCCACTTCATCTGACCATATGATTCATCCAGGATCCAAACTTGAAAGAGATCCTTAACGAACGATGCATAGTACACGCCTTTTTTTTGATCTTCCTAGATAAGCCATGGTTTCCTTGTCGGTTGGTAGTTTAATCACGCGGTACTTGTCATCGGAAAGAGATATCCTGCAAGGTCAAATCATTGACAGAAACTGTAAATAAGTCCATAGAATCAAGTGATCCTTTGATCATGGTAAAACAAGTGACGGTATCAAATTGGTAATGTTATAATCAAGTATATATATATGTATACCTCATGACAGCATTAGGCTGGCAGTGCACATAAAGTGCTTGTTGCCAGTAGGCAGCGCCACGTTTGGCCGATGACCATCCGTAGGGGTGATCTTGTCGTGCCTCGACAATCCCTGCAACATCACCTTCTCTAACAAAAGGCCTCTCCTCCCAGCGATCCGACATTGAGGAGAAGACATCCAGGATGTATGTAGACGGCGGCCATTCGGATTTCTCCACTAAGCGGTCTAATTGGATGGTACTGCAGACCCCCATGTCCCTATAGGTACTCTGCTCGCGCAAACTGGGAATGCTGAACACTTGGTAGTGGGGTGACACGGTGGGATCGAAGATTAGATGCTTATATTGAACCAAAAGGTCATCCATTCTGGATCGGCCGGGCGCCGGCGCGGAGGCAAAAGATCCCAGCGTCGCGTGGCAGGGTTGACAACGTACAGGCTGGTCAGGAGGAGGCCATTGCAGTGGTCTCGAACAAAGTAGTCTTCGTCAAACCCGTCGCCTACCCCATCAAAGGGATACATGGGGGGAGGCAAGAAGTCGAGCTTGGTATTGGCTGATGAGGAAGAGGGGCGGGCGAAGAACTCCGGGAACGCGTGTGAGTCGAACTGGATGAAGAAGCCGGCGAATGAGAGTGGGAGCAGGTCAGGGCGCAGGAGGCGGCGCTCGTCGATGGTGCGGCGCCAGGCCTTGCAGACGCACCGCGACGCGGCGAGCCAGCGTGGTGGAAGACGGCGGAGAACATCGCCGAGAGCGTCGTCCGGTAGGTCGGCCATCGATGTCTCGGGCTGGATTTGGATGTTCTGGCCGGTAGGTAGTACTCCTATCTAACACGGAACAGCTTCTGATGGAAAAACGATGTCGTACACAAACAAATTACTTCACGGCGTAATTTTATAGTATGTTTCAAGATTCGTGCTCTAGCTATAAAATACTTAGGTACCAGCGATAATATTTTGACACTACTTATACAGGCAAAAGTTACCAGAAATTTGTAGCACTCCATCCCAACATCATTTTTTTTTTCATTCCAATTATTTTGTTTACTTGTGTTGTGTTTTTGCATCCGAAATTATTATGTCCATTGGATTTTAGCCGCACCTGAAATTGTTTTCCTCATCTTTTGTCGTTCAACAACATTTTAGTTCAAGAGATCGATCTCTAGGCATTGATTTTAGGTGAAATGTCTTATACTCCCTCTGTACACAAATATAAGACGTTTCTTTAGTTTAATTTAGAGACCTTTTACGGTATGTTCCAGTAAATATTAGCCATTCATTCAGCCGATTCAAAGGCGTAGATTCATCAATACTACCATAGAATCATAGTACTTTCTAGTGAAGGGGCAAAATGGACAGAGGTGTGATACAAATCCCGCACAGGCGAGGGCAATGTTGAGGATATCACTTATCATTATCGTCTCGGTCAGTTGGGAATTAGAGATTAATCGGAAATTGGCCGATTAATCGATTTTATCGGTCGACTATTAATCGGCCATTTTTTTCAAATCTCAGTTCCTAACACTAAAATATGCTATATTCAACACCAAAACAATATTGGAGATAAGTGTTACCTTGATTCCTAGCCTTTGAATCCCCGTATAATGATAAACAAAATAGGACAACAATACATATAGCGTAACAAGGTCCACAAAACACAAATAAGCATAGTTTTTGCAAACATAGTGCTATGAATAGGCCTGATTTATCGATAGATTCTTGATAAATCGCTTGTCATAGTGATAAATTGGCCCAAACGATAAACGGTGAAGATAAGGCATAATCTTATCGGTCACCCCAAGAGTAGCGATAAATCGGACGATAAATTGCTGAATCGACAGATTTTTTGAACTAAAAATTCCTTGTTCTCTCTCTGGCACGCAGCGCCGAGTTGCACGCTGGTTCTTGGGGAAGAGAGTTACGGCCGCCGCCTCCGCCGTCGGCCATGTGGTCATGAATTTGTGACTGCGATAGTTGCCTCCGGCCACATCGTCTCGGCGACCTCTAACCTCCCTGAGCTAGTAGGTGACCTCAGCGGAGTGTCTGACTCTGAAGCTTCCTAAAAATTAGAAATTGTGAAATTAAGAACAAATATTTAAAAACAAGAACATTTTTTGAAATTTTGACTAACATTTTTTAAAATTTTCTGATTCTTTTCAACAACATGAAACATTTTTGAAAAAATGACAGTTTTCGAAAAACGAAATGATAGAGGAAAATGAAAAAAATATGGTTCCACAAAGAAGCATAAATTTGCTCATGTGAGACGCTTTTCGAAAAGGGAAGAATATCGTGAAGCGGTAAGCGTTGACTGTTAAAATGGACAGAGGCCCACATGTCATCTGTTGAGAAAACCAATCTAGCCCATTAATTAGAAAGAAGAAAAGGAGTCAGCGGAGCCACCCACCCTCTCCTCTCGATTCCACATCGCCGCCGTACGTTCCCCTAGGGCGAAAAACCTAGGGTTTCGATATCTTCCGGCGCCACCGCCGGAATTCTGTCTCCGCCCCGATCACCGATCGCTGTTTCGTCTCTAGACTCGGGCTGATCACGGGGGATCCTGGTGATCCTTCCTGGCCTTGGAATAGAGCGACTCCGAGAGGGAAGGAGGGTGAGTCGATTGGATCTACAAGATGTCGAAAGCTTCAGGATCGCAGGGGAAGCGGGAGAAGGAATCGGCGGAGGATCTTCTGGCGAGACTCACGCTACAGGAAGAGGAGGAAGATGAATTCATCTGGGAGGAGGAGTTGCCGGATATGCTGGAGCCGGCAAAGTGGCTTGCGATCGCCCGGGTCCATACACTGAAAACTTTTAGCCCTAATGCTTTGTATAACGACATGAGGGCAGCCTGGAATCCAGCTAAACCGGTGACATGGAGGAAAATCAAAGAAAACCTATTTACGACACAGTTTGGATGTCTGGGTGATTGGAATAAGGCAATGGCAGAAGGCCCGTGGCTGTTTAGAGATCAAGTGGTAGTAATGCATGAGTATGATGGCTTTAAGAACCCCGATGCCATCAAACTTGACAAGCTAGCTGTATGGGCGCAGATCCACCGCCTGCCGGATAAGTTCCTAATCGAGCCGGCGGTTAAGGGGCCGGCGTCCAGAATCGGAGAGGTGGAGGAGATCCAGTTGAAGCTCCCTGCTGGATTTTTTGGTGAGTTTGTTAGGGTCAAAGTGAAGATTGACATCAACTCCAAGATCAAACGCTTTGTCACAGCCAAGAAGGGAGAAGAGAGAGTCAAGTATCAGGTCAAGTATGAAAAGCTCCCGACCTTCTGCTATAACTGTGGTGAGATTGGTCATTGGCATGAGGAGTGCGGGGAAGGAGAGCATGATGAAGCGAAGTTTGAATGGGGCGAATTTGTGCTGGCGGATAATTTTCGTTTCAAACCTGCTGGTCGTGGAAACTATGGACCTCAGAGGGGTCGTGGAGGACAATGGTCAGGGGGCCGAGGACGAGGTAGAGAACCCTATAATCCTAATCAAAGCTGGCGTTTCAATGCCAAGCAGCCGATGTAGACAGAACATGGGGACGCCTCTGAAGGAACAGAGCAGAATGGCGGGGAGGCAGTACATGTCGCCGGTGTGGTGGTGGCTACCAATGGAAATCAGGGGTCTAATAAACGCCTGTCAGTTGAGAATATAACTAGCCCAATAACGGATGTGTCGACGGGGGAGCCGAGAGATGTTCTTGCGGTGGTAACCATAGGGGACCAGCTTTCGGGGCCACCCTTACCACCAGTGTATGTGTCCCCTAGGAAAGAGCACAAACGCCCGAAAAAGGGTTTGGAGGAAGACGGCCCAGCTGCTGGTGAGAAACTGAAGACCGGGGAAGATGACAGGAATGAGAAAATAATGTATGCAACATCGGCGGGCTCCTCTGAGGAGTGCCGCCGGGCACAATGAGTATCTTAAGCTCGAACTGTCGTGGCGCGGGCAAAGCTGCGACAGTTAGAGAACTTCGCGATATTGCGAACAATTTTGCCCCTACCCTTTTTTGTATTGTTGAGACTCAGATCGATAGATCGAGGGTAGAAAAATTAGCTGGAAGCATTGGATATGATAATGGATATGCGGTCAGCAGTCAAGGTAGAAGTGGAGGACTATGGTTGTTTTGGAATAATCCAATAAAAATTGAGACTCTTGGTTTCTCTGTGTACCATATTGATTGTTCAGTGCAGGAACCAGGCTGTGATCCGTGGAGGTTGACACTTTTTTACGGAAAGGCGCAAACTCATTTGAGGTATAAATCATGGGACATTTTGAAGGGAATCAGTACTTTGAGTGACCTCCCGTGGGTCTGCATAAGGGACTTTAATGAGGTACTACGTCCAGATGAGCAGCAAAGCATTGGAGAGAGAAACAATGCCCAAATACAAGGTTTCCGGGATGCCATTGATGTATGCATGCTGATGGATATAGGCTATCAAGGCCACTTCTGGACCTTTGAAAAAAAGGTTACCGGTGGTAGCTATACACGGGTCCGCTTGGATCGTTCTCTGGCTTCCGCGGAATGGAGTGAACGTTTTCCAAATGCACTTGTTAAACATCTGACAGCAGCGACTTCAGATCACTGTCCCATCTTGTTGGAATTTCAAGGGAGGGCACCTAAGCACAGGAAGGAGTTTAAGTATGAACTCATGTGGGAAACTCATGAGACGTGGAGAGATACAATTGCGGCTAGCTGGGCAGGAGATCCGGTGGAGTTCATGGCAGATTTACGAGCGAAGTTGAAAAGGGTTTCGGTGCAGCTAGGTTCCTGGAATAAACATACTTTTGGCTCAGTGTGAAAGGAAATAAAAAGTTTAAAACTGGAACTAGACCGCTTGCGTAGTGATCCGGCTAGAACAGCGCCGTCACGGATTGAACTGAAGATCAATGAGAATTTGATTGAGCTATATTACAGGGAGGAAATAATGTGGAGGCAACGCTCGAGGTTGGAGTGGTTGTCGGCAGGAGACAGAAATACGCGCTTCTTTCATCTTCGGGCAAGTGAGAGAAGGAGAAGAAATATGATTAAGGCGCGCTTCTTTCATCTTCGGGCAAGTGAGAGAAGGAGAAGAAATATGATTAAGGCCTTGGCAACGTCCCTGGGTGTGATGATAGAGAATCAGAATGAACTCAAAGCCATGGTGACAGACTTCTATAGAAACTTATATTTATCAGAAGGGGTGAGTGGCATAGAGGAGGTACTAGAAAAGGTACCGGTGAAGGTTACGGAGCAGATGAATGCCACTCTTCTGGCGCCTTATACAAATGAAGAGGTTAAGACTGCCCTCTTTCAAATGTTCCCGACAAAGGCACCGGGTCCGGATGGGTTCCCCGCCCACTTCTATCAACAGCATTGGGATATATGTGGGGATGAAGTTACCAAGGCTGTCTTGAGAATTATCAGAGGGGAGGAAAGCGCTGCATCTATAAATGACACCGTGTTGGTTCTTATCCCGAAGGTAATGAATCCTACATTACTCTCTCAGTTCTGGCCTATAAGTTTGTGCAATGTAATCTATAAAATTGCCTCCAAGGTTGTTGCAAATAGGCTCAAAGTGATCCTCCCAGACATCATATCTCAAGAACAGTCAGTTTTCGTTCCAGGCAGGTTGATCACAGATAATATCATATGTGCATATGAGTGTCTGCACTTCATGAAAAGAAGCAGAGCTAAATCCAACAGTTTCTGTGCACTGAAATTAGACATGACGAAAGTTTATGACAGACTGGAGTGGCCGTATCTTCGAGCCATGATGGAGAAGTTGGGATTTGCACACTCCT